TTTTTACTAAATTAAACCAGGTGGAAGTAAAACTTTTCCATTTCAGTAGTTCTGGATAGACGTATATATATCTTAAATACGACATTTTTGTTTTCTTCTCTACAATCTTGGTCTAATTCCTGCTCTAAGTGAGTCGATCTGTTAGCTAAAGGCAGGTTTAAGAGTCTCTATACTCCAGTTAGAGATTAATTACTAGATTAGTTTGTTTATATATATATATATATATATAATATATATTATATATAATATATATTATATAGCTTTTGTTCTGAAACGGGAAGAAACAGGTTGTGGTATGATGACTTCATTCTTGTCATACTTCAACTTTTTTCTAATTTTATGACTTTATTCTCGTGAAAAACTTTATCATTATATTACAACTTTATGATGTTGCAATAATCTCAAAATGTTCAGACTTTATTCTTGTAATAAAAAAAATAAAAAAAATGAATCTCTAGCTTGGGTCAAACTAAACTTATAAGTTTAAGTTTGATCCGGTTTAATTCTGTAAAAAATCTTCTTTAAGGAACCTTTGACTGATAATTGATTAATCAAAAAAATAATCGACAGATGAATCGATTAGCAAAAACAACAGTTAGTTTGAGCCTAACTGCTTAAACAGTGTAAAAATGTTTGTGATGTAAATGTTAAAGTTTAATAAATGCTATTTTTCTATTAAAGTTTGGTTGATTACATTTATAATTATTGCTTTTTACAGAGCTGCAGTGATTCAGGTTGAATAAATACTTTTATACAGTATTTATTTAAGCTGGGAATAAAAAAAACAAACATTATATAAGAACAAGTTATTTTATAAACATCTTTTTGGTTTTTTAATAAAGAATTTTAAATTTCATGAAAATCCCATTTAATAAATCTTGATGCCAATTAAGGCCTTATTTTAAAGATAATTTAAAGTGTGTGTATCCTCCATGCACCTTTTTATTCCTTTGGCTATTTGAGTTGATGTAACGAGAACATTTCTCCACTGAGATCAATAAAGTCGATCAGTCGACTGGAAGTGAATCGGAGGATTTACTCCTAATGATCTTATTTTAAAGGTAGAAATCCTCCTATGGGCAGATTTTCTTAGATTGAGGTTAAATGCAGTTATTTTAAGAATTATAGACACATTTCTAGATATTTTTAGGACTTAACTAAGTTCATTGTGAACAATTCATCTCAACACGAACACTTTAATTGGAAAATAACATTTATTTGACTTTAACGAGCCGAGCAAAGAGAGGAATCTGCATGTTTGATAGTTCTGTAGGGTCCGTCTTCATGCTGCAGACGACACCAGCTGAGCAATCTTCTGCTGCAGCACGTCCTTCATGCTGCGGTCGCTCAGGTTGGCTGTGATGGTGGAGAAGAAGTGGCGCGTGTCGTCGCTCTCAACGTGGCTGCAGCTGTCCGGGAAGGCGGCCATGATGGCCTCGTAGTTACTGAGGATCTCCAAGCTGCACAGGAACAGAGGCTCCGACTGGCCTCCTGGCATCATCACCTGCAGCCAACAAACGTCACAGTCTTTATTAGAAGGCGGAGCTTTGAATGCTACGTTTAGATCCGCTCGCTAACATAAAAATCAGGATATCCTTTCATCATGCAGTAGTTCTGGTGTGTTTCTACGTAGGGGGAGGTTCAGGAACGAAGCGATATGAGCTGCGACGAATAGAGAGAAGGGATTTGAAAAATCTGAAAATCTTCTGTCAAAGTCTAGTCACCCAATCAGAGGCAGAGAAGTAGGGAGAAGGAAAGGAATAAAGCCAGAAAATCAAGGATAAAGTTAGGAATGCTGTTAAACATTCTCAGACATCCAGGTCAGAGTCATTCTGACAAGGTTAAAATCAATCAACTGGACTTTGTTTCCAAGTTTGAAGACGTTTCTCTTCCATCCAGGAAGC